CCTTGTGTCCATTGCTTATGATGTGTGATTTCACATATGACTTAAGGAGATCGGTATATGAACTTGTACCTTGACTTAGCGTTACCCATATGATTTGCTGTGGCCAAAAAAATAATGTGGAAATGAGAGCATGGCCTAAGAGGCTTTGCATGCTTTCTTTCTCATGCTTGTGCTTAGCCATGAGAACATACCTGGGCAGCACCATTTGTCCCAAGTAGATGATGGAGAACATAGAGAGCGGAATCAGCTGAGCCATCCCAGTCAAGCTTAGCTATGATCAACTATGTCCCAACAGATCTCCACATGCATGAATGATAGATAACAAACCCTAGCTGTCTTAAGCCACTGCCTTTTGGAATGGTTTGTGATAAAGCAGTCATTATCTGATACAATCAGATTTATTCTCCATTCATTTATTAATTTTCAAACATCAGTTGGACACTTCATAAGCCCCAAGTTCTGTGGCAGAGGCCTGAGATACAAAGTGCAAACTTCCAGGGAAAACAGACAAATGGAGCGGTAAATAAAATAGATTCACAAAGTGCTGAGATGAAAGTGTGCCTTGGGTACTATGGTGAATCCTTAATAGGGTGGTATAAGAGGCATTCTGGAAGAGGAATAATACCACGCAAAATTTTAAAGAGAGAATAGGGATTAGGAAGGCACTAATGTTGGATTTTGAAGAGAAAAAGAATAGAAGGGCATTCTAGGCAGAGAAAGCACACAGCATTTGCAAGTACCCTAATGCTGAGGAGCCTGGTGCTCTAAGGCCACAGCAAGTAGTCTAACAAGCAGGAACCATGCTTTGCATTTTGTTAAAACTCAACATAGGCAAGTCAAGTATGATTGAAAGATGGCTTGGCAAAACTATTGGGCACTGTCTTAAGTAGAAACTAGAGGCGATGCTTAAGAAAAGTCACCTTAGAAGTGCCCAGCTCCCTATGTGAATTCAGACCTAACTGCTTGAGAATGTCAAACTAAGGCAGGAAGTCTTTTGATTATTTGTGGTGTTTTTCTCTTCACTTCCTGCTTTGATTCCATAGCACAGGAACCAAAGGATTCTAAGAGAAACTACTTCCTTGGTATTTTTGGCGTGCCTCTTACCAGGAAATTGGTGGAAGTGTCAGGGGTACCCTTTTCAAGAGATTTGCACTTAAACCAAAGGTGGGGGTGGGGGTTGCATCCACTTCCTAACCATTTAAGGCTTCAATCATTTGTGTGGTTTGCACATTTAGGAAGTCCTTAAAGATTCTATCATCACTTTATCTTAGCTGCCAAGTTATAACTCTGCCATTTATATGAAACTATTCTTTAAGTAGAGAGATCAGAAACATAAGGATGTTCCAATTGTCTCCATCCTGGAGACAGGCTCTGAGGTAGATCACCTGGCAGTTTTCCCATCATTTACCAAGTTGGAAAAGCCTACTCTAAGGGGGGAAAAAAAGACTGGTTCAAGGTCCTATTAATTAAGGACAAAAATGGAACTATGCCCCTGGATCCCAAGCTGGGGTGCTTAGCACCACCTAACCCATGGATTCTTGACTTTTTATGCCGCACAAATTAAACCTGAACCATGGACAAAACTCAAATAGAGAAAAAAACAAAGCGTGTCAACTGTCTTAGACCAAGAAAGAATAAATCGGAAAAAAGAAAAAACCAGCAACTGGAATCTTTAAGAGCTGAAGGAATTTGCTTTTCAGGTATCAGGCTAATTTTAGAATGCTAGAACAGTTAGTAAACTTGGCATGTCGGTGTGTGAAGTAGGGAAAGGTGCAGAAGAGGATGAAGAGGAAAGAAGACACTGCATCTTTGAATTCAATGTTCTGTGACTTTAAATGAAAGCTCTTCTGTTGTTGAGCAAATAAATTTAAACCACTTAACATGGCAGAGAAGGTCAGGCAAGCTTATTATAGTGATCATAGCGTTACAGCTATTGCGATTGACCGCTGCTCTCTGGAATCACCAATAATCAGAGACCGCAAGCTGTGTTTGCAGAGAAAGGTCATCATTCATTTTTTTCAAAGCATTAATATCTTTTGTTTGTTTGGCTCAACATGAAACAGGAATCGATAGAGGTAATTCACAGAGCAATTAGCCCCTCATCTGTCAAACGGCATCTGGGTGTATTTAACAAAAAGACCTTTGGAAAGGTTTAAAAAGGAAGAAAGTGCCTGTATGATCAACAATTTATATTTTCTACATGACATGTTGTGTATGTATCTGTAAAAAGGGGGGCCTTGGGAGTAAGAAAATATACATAAAGCATGCTATAAATCTACACTTCAGTGTTATGATGTTGCAGTGTAGAGACATACCCTAAAAAGCTCCGATTACATCCTCGTCTAGTTCCCAGGAAGACAGCAAGTGGCATTTGGGGTCTTTGTATCATGTTGAACACAGCCATGGTACATAGATTTCTCTGAAAACAACAGACTTCCAGGAAAAATCTTATTGTGGACAATGTAACAAATTGGAGAGGGTCAAACATCAGGAACAAATGTTCCTTTTTGGCTGCAAAGCCTGTGATGTTTGTGTTGGGCTAGACTGCTTCTGAAACAGGTCACAGCCTTGCTGTGCCACCCATTAGCTGCCTTGGGAAGAAGTCGTTGGCTGGAGACATGTCTCTCACTGCTCACCAGTGCCCACGCCACTCTTACAGTAGTCCTCTGTCTCTCCATCTAATTTGCCAATATTGGAATGAAAAGCAAAATGCAAAGTTAAGTTAAAAGAGTTTTTATACTTCCAAAAATGAATTGTGATCTGGGTCTGTTTTCTCTTACTGAATATCAAATGTGTGTACTATAGGATGAATGCAATACATATCGAAAATGAGGACTTTAAAAAAAAAGTCAGCTTAGGGACTTATGTACACGTTTACAGGACTGCTGTTACTCACAGCAGGACCAGATGTATTTTCAAAATGTATTTTCTTTTCAATTCTCTGGCTTTTTTTGCTCATTTTCTTTTTCTTTTTAACTTTTCTTTATTTCTCTCCCCCCAAACCCCTACACCAGTCTTCTGCCTTCTCTTTTATTTTGGTCTTCTCCCAGGCCATTAATTGACAGCTAAAATAGAAGTCATGAGGTATAAATGAAAGTGACAAGTGTTTTGCTTACCTTGTCACTTGTTTTTGATTTTAAATTTAATTTTTTTTTCTTAATATCAAAGCATTCCAACAGGTTCCTTATCCATCTTTAAGGCTCTTTCTGGATAACAGTGTCTTATCTGAAAATTAGGTACTATAGTTAACCAAGCAGGTGGGGCATGGTGGCTCAGGTCTGTAATCCCAGCACTTTGGGAGGCCGAGGCAGGCAGATCACCTGAGGTCAGGAATTCAAGACCAGCCTGGCCAATATGGCAAAGCCCTGTCTCCACTAAGAATACAAAAATTAGGAATGGTGGCACAATCCTGTATTCCCAGCTACTTGGAAGGCTGAGGTGGAAGAATCCCTTGAACCTAGGAGGTAGAGGCTGCAGTAAGCTGAGATCACACCACTGCACTCCAGCCTGGGCAGCAGAGAGAGACCGTTTCAAAAAAGAAAAAGAAAAAGGAAGCAGCTACAACTAACTTCGAGTAGAGAAAACATCACAGCAAAAGACTGAAAGAAAATTCTCAAGTGATGTTATATTAGAGTAGAGTGATTATAGAGGTTATTTTTGTTTCATTCCATTTCCCCATTAGATTTTTTTTGTTTTTGAGATGGAGTTTCCCTCTTGTTCCCCAGGCTTGAGTGCAATGGCATGATCTCAGCTCAGCACAGCCTCTACCTCCTGAGTTCAAGTGATTCTCCCACCTCAGGCTCCCAAGTAGCTGGGATTACACGCATGTACCACCACACCCATCTAATTTTGTATTTTTAGTATAAACAGAGTCTCTCCATGTTGGTCAGGTTGGTCTCCAACTCCCGACCTCAGGTGATCTGCCTGCCTCAGCCTCCCAAATTGCTGGAATTACAGGCATGGGCCACCGTGCCCCACCTCAAAATTTTTTATAATAAAAATACTACTTTTTAATTGGAAAAGATAAAACATTACTTAAAATTAATGCAGTAACACAAATAAGGCAATCATGTTTTTGTACAGACTTCCAGTTACTAAAGCAGTCAGCATTATATTTTATACTGACTCCAGATGACCACATTTTTACTTTTTGTAAACACTACCAAACACTCCATAGACTTCTGTAGATATCTTCTAGAAATTTGCTGGGCAAAACTAAAATCAGTTTTTAGAGTCTCATAAAATTGTATAGAGAATGTAAAACTGAAGTTGAGTAGAATAACAAGAAGTATTATATAGTTCATGGTATATCTAAGTTTCTGAAATTATGACATTCTGTTATAAGAGAATTTTATTGTCAAATATATGGGTTCATCTTAGTTTTTGAACTTGGAATTTAATCCTGGAGACATTCTGACACAATATTTTCTTCCTCCCAACTTTTATTTTTTCTGTTTATGTGAGCTTTGTTAGAAGTTTCCATACATTCACTACATGGCTTCCTTTAATTAGATGGATTCTATGTAACCCACAAACACTGGCAAATAATTATTTTCCAGACTTCCAGTTACTAATGCAGTCAGCAATTGCCTGGGCTCTATTTTGCTTTCATGAAAATGCTATAATATACTTCAACAACAGTCCAAATCATCCCACCTTCCAAGTGGTTATTCACAAGCAGGGGTCATTATTTCCTTGTTAGACTGTCTTAGGGGTGGGTCTGGTTTCCATGGGCTTTGCACATTCTTCTGATTTGTAAATCAAACCTGAGTTACAAAGATGGACTGCCACCTCCTCCGGGCTCTGCTTAGTGTCACAGGGGTACAGTTCATCAGACAAACACCTCATAAGCATCAGTTCTGGCTGCCTTCCAGGGAAAACCATGTCATGCCATTGAATAACACTTAGGACCCAATCTTTCATCCTCCTCCTCCATAACTAAATAAATTGGGTAAAGGTCTTGCCCTGTCTCAAGATAACAAGAAGTTTAAAGAACTTACTCGTGTTTCATGTTGCAGACACTATCCTTTAGAGGGGTGAACAAAAACAAGATGGCCGCTTCCCTGAAGTTCAAAGGCAGTTCTGATAGCAAATGAATACTGACAGTCCTTCGCTTTTCCCTCATGGGCACAAATAATCCTGCTGAAAACAGGAAGTGGATTTGGATTGAGGGCCAAAAGAAAATGAGCAGAGACTTTTCTATTGCTGTCCTACTCAGAAACTTATTATATAGAGCAGGGGTCAGCAAAATTTTTCTGTATAAGACCAGAGAATAAATATTTTATTCTTTGTGAGCTATACCACTTTCTTCACATCCACTCAACCTGCTGTTCTAGTGTGACAAAGGAGCCACTGACAATGTGTAAACAAGTATTGACCGGGCTCTAAGAAAACTTTGAAATATGAATTTCATATAAATTTCATGTGTCACAGAATTTTATATATATGTATATTTTGAGGTGGAGTCTAGCTCTGTCACCCAGGCTGGAGTGCAGTGGCGCGATCTTGGCTCACTGCAACCTCCGCCTCCCGAGTTCAAGCAATTCTTCTGCCTCAGCTTTCTGAGGAGCTGGGACTACAGGTACACATCACCATGACCGGCTAATATTTTGTATTTTTAGTAGATCCGGGGTTTTACCATGTTAGCCAGGATGGTCTTGATCTCCTGACCTCATGATATGCCCACCTCGGCCTCCCAAAGTACTGGGATTACAAGCCTGAGCCACCGTGCCTGGCCAACGAAATAATATTCTTAAATTTTTTCTTTTTAACCAGACATTTACAAGTGTAAATTTTATTCTCGGATTTTAGGTGATACCAAAGCAGCCCTGGGCTGAATTTGCTTCTCGGGTCAGTTTTCTCATTCTCACTCTAGAATTCAGAACTTCAGTTCACATTTGTGAATCAGATTTTGCAGAACCAAGGGCCCTTCTTGGCTCTCTCTCTCAGTGTAGTGACAGCTGCTGTTACCTTGTAACTATCATCTCACCTGAATAAAGGTGTTTTTCTTTCATTTGAATCGGATCTTTTGTTATTTGAGAAAAGGCTCATTAAACTTTTTAAACTCATTGAATTTAGAAGAGTGTCTTAACTATGTGTAACTCAGGCATTGGGGGAGAATATGCATAACCACACCAAATTAAACTGCACAAAATCATGTCTTTCTATATTAAAAATAGATCTTTTTTCAGGTAAAATCCAAGATAGTCTAAAAAGGCAATAGGAATTTAAATGATTGTTTATGCAGGCAATGAATATATAAATAATTGGTAAATGATTCTGAGAACTATTTGGTGACAAAAGAAAATGTTCCCTTTCTAATGTGAGTTGGAATAAATCAGAGTACAAACTCTACATTTATGTGTGTATGTATTTTATGTAATAGAAAGATATGAACTAAAATGTTAACAATATTTATGGAGATGGTGAAATTATTTCTTTGTGCCTTTTTTCTTAGTTTTCAAATGTTTCGCAATATGGTTACTGCTTGTACAATTAGGAAAAAACAACTAATATTACAAGAATAGCCATTGCTCCCAATTTTTAAAACAGTTTTCAAGAAGAGACCCATGCCTCTGTAGCAATCTTGGACAACGGATCATGAAATAATCTGCATGATTCATTGACTGCTGGAAGGTTTTGTGCTAGCATTGAAGATAACCTTCCATAAGCTCATAAAAATAATTACCTGAAAGTTGTACAAATTCAGTATTTTTATGACATGCAAATAAAGAAAAGGAAGGAAAAACATGAAATAACACAAGCAAGATCTCATAAAAGGGATGGCAATAACTATATGTAAAAAAAAAAAAAAACAAATAATGGATGTTACTAAAATTTTGGCATGTCATTAGAATTAAATGAGAAACAGCCAACAAACCTCCCTCCATTGCTATTCAAAAGATGAACAAAGCACCAGTTACTCTATGGCATCAACATCTTTTTATGTTTATGACCAAAGGTGTTTTTTAAAAGCTTGCTTTCATTTTTATGTGTAAGTTTCTTTAAAAATTGGCTGAAGCTAAACAATAAACTTTCATTCATGAGAACAATGTAACGAAAAAAATTTCTTCCATGCATTGTTTAGTGGATTTTTTATTTCAGCTTTTTTTACAAAGCAGATCTCAACCTATAGCCTAACTCATAATTCCTACCTATATTCCTAGTATATTCTAGACACCACCAGGAAGAGATATGTATGATAGTTTATGTTTTTCTTAATTTAAAGAAAATGATCTTGAAAGCAGCAGCTCTGAGAAAAATGTGATATTAGAGATATAATGTTAAGTGTCTAGTTTTAAATGATCGAATATCGAAATATATTTATTACATGGTTCAGCACTTCAAGATAAGCAAGTGTATGAGAATAAAAGAGCTACTGGCTTCTCAGAAGTAAAATAATGACATTTTAGGCATTTTATATCTTTTGGCCTGAAAGCTTCAGACTCGGTAATTAGATCTGGCGTGCCAATAATTTTAGAAGGAGGATACTAATAGAAATACATCCAAGAGAGACGTTATTGGGTGTAGTATCTTCCCTTCTCTCTCTTTTCTGACTTCTGTTCCACAGAAACCTAGTTTCCCAGTAATCTACTTGACTGACGGACTTGTATGGGAGAAGAAATTATAGCAGCAGGACCCGTCTACTTTGCTTCACCTTATCAAATGTACTCACCAATTTATGTTCTTAGCACTTTCCCACAGTCTGACAAGAATCAGAACTATTTCAGGGCTTTTTGAGCACTCCTGTCTCTTGGGATGGTGACCTTCTATCTTGACAATTCAGAACTAGTCACTGGTACCACCCACGGACCACTGATAGCTTTTCAGCCTGCTCTAGGTGAATGAAGAGGGAATGTGACTGCAGACTTTAGTTTTTACTCCTCTATACTCTGATTCAAAAATGTACTTTAACATTTGAAACTCATCTGTAAAAGATTCAACTCCCCATCATTAGCTACTGATTAAATGCTTATAATAAATGAAGGAGATGGATGCTATGTGTGCCTGGTGTGCACCTGTCCCCTCTAGTTGGGGACATGCCAATGGATTCACTAAATTCATGAAGCTGTGTATTCAGCACTAAGTGAGTTCTACAGAAAACATTCTTGAAAATTGAAGACTTCATAACTTGCCAGAGAGAGTCATGGAAGACTTTGCAGAGGAACAAAAATGTGAGTCAGACTTAAGAACGAATAAATTTGGATGAGTACACAGAAGAGGCAAGAGAAAGGAATGACCTGTGTTGATGACTATTACATTGTATCTGAGGACCTGTGTGGGTTCTGCAAAGACTGTCCCATTCCATTCTCATCAGATGAGGAAGCTGGAACTCAAAGAATATACAGTTTTCCAAAGAATGCACAGCTAAGAAATATGGGAAGATGGACGCAAGCTCAGATTTGCCTCATTCTGCAGCTTGTATTCCTTTCCGTGCACTGAACTGCATCAGAATGTTTTTTAGAATGCAGACTGACAGGAGCAAGAGTGAGGAGGTGTGAATAAACACAAACGTCAGGATGACAGAGCTTCCTTCCTGGAAACAATGGTTGGGATGAAGCAGCGAAAAAACAACTTTTTTTCTAGGTAGAATTTCAAAATGAGATTCCACCTGCTTAACAAGCATTTGCCAAACCTGAAATCATTTTCTGACTGCAAAAGTATTCCATGTTAATTGTAGAAAATTAAAAAGCATAGAATCACCAGGTCTAGAATCAACCAGAACTAGCTATTGTTAATGTTCTAGTGTATCATCTTCCAATCTTTTCATAATTTTTATCCAAATAGATACATATTTATGTATATGTAGTTTTTATAAAATTAAAATTTTACTTTTTTGTATTTTGATGTCTTAAGTAGTAATATATCACAACCATATTCCATCTCGTCTATATTCTTTGGAAACATTTTGAATACACACAGAATATCGGATCCTATAAGTTACCATATTTATTAAACATATATTATTGAATGTCAAAGTTATTTCTGGTTTTTCTTAATTATAAATAGTGTATTTTATCTTATAAATCATTTATTTCTGATTTTTCCTAAAAAAAATTTAAACAAAATTTCAGCTTGGCTTATTTTTCATAATACAGAAAATGTAAATCAAAATTTCAATTTTATGTTATCCTGGGAACTGAAGCTCAGGTCAGACTCCTGAGGTGATAAACCAATATCTTGATCCAATGATCATCGTCACTTTAGGAAGTTAAACTCTTCTGTATCAGAGAGAAGGGTAGAAGACGAGAGGTTGAAGGAGAGATCGAGGAAGAGAGGACAGAGTAAGAAAAAGGGAAACACTGGTTTCCTTCCCTCAGGAATCTGATACCTGTTCTCCAGGTAGAAAAACTTTATTTTTAAAAAGATCAGACTCCATGGTGGTCCTAAGGGGAGGTAGAAAAGACTTATTTTAGACTGTGTCCAAGTGGTTATTTTCTTTTTTAAAGCCTAGTAACGTCACAGTGATGGATTTCTCCATTTGGGAGCATCATGTAGTGAAGGAAACCACCTGGGCTTAAATCCCAGTTACTTGGTTTCACAACTCTGTGGCTTTAGACAATGCCTTTTATTTCTCTCAGTCTCAGCATCCACAGGGTAAAGAGATAGGAATGCCAACTAAAAATGTTTGGATACCGACAATTAAATCAGAATACATAGCATTAGGTAATGACAAACAGTTCCTTCGTCCTCCCTTTTTTCCACCTTCTGCTCACTGAGAGCAAAATTTCTTTTTTTCTTTTATTTGGATTTCTTCATTGCAAAAAGCAGAGTTCATTCATTTCAAAAACATTTAAATCTCTTGGCACCGAGAATTCAAAGCATTGTCCATGCGCTTATGGAAATCACAGTCTAGTGAAAAGTACAGGAAAGGTAACATGAATTATAATGTCAAGAGAGAGAAGTTGGTACAAAGTCATGTGTTCCTAAATACAAAAGAGCCAAATTTATTGGAGAAAGGGGATCAGGGAAACAACCCTTGATGAGGTCTTACAAGATGAGCACTTGCTCACCAAGCAGGGGAAGGAAAGTGGGCCTTCTTGACATGGGGTAGCTCTTATCCTGTGGAAGTAAGGAGAGGGTTAGTGGTCAGCAGAAGGGCCTTTAACAGAAGCTAGAAGTTGTTAAGAAATGCCACTTCC